ATTCCTTGACATTTGCCATTCTTCTATGTCAAAAATAGCTTGCAGGAGCCATGATAATAAGCACAAGATAAATGAAACCTGACAGGAAATTGTAAGAAGAGGGAGCTTACTTCTCTTCTGCTAGGTGTCTTTGTTCTAGTAGGGGATAAAGAAGACCTTATCTGCAGTGAGAGGATGGATAATGGTGAGCAGGAAAGCCTTGTGCCTCTGGTCATAAACTACTAAATAAATAACAGCAGATTGGGGCCTTTGAACCCAGTTTTATATAAATTAAAGTGATTGTAAAGATAGATTATTTTTAAAAATAACAAACATGTCATACTCACCTGCTCTGTATAATGGTTTTGCACAGAGCAGTCCCGATCTGCCTCTTCCCGGGTCCCCTGCTGGTGCTCCTGGCTCTTCCCTCTTGCCAAGTTTCCCCACAGTAAGCAGATCGCTGTGGAGGCACCCAAGCATGCTCATACCTGAGCCGCTGCTCTGTGTGTCCACTCACACACAGGCACGGCTCAGCCCCGCCCCATGCTCTTTCCTCATTGGCTCACTGGCTGTGAGTGATAGTAGCGAGAGCCAATGGCTCCCACTGCTGTCTCTCTCAATGAGGAGGGAGAGACCTGGCACAGCTGAGGATCTTGTGCACATTGCTGGATTGTAATGGTTGCTGCACACAGAAGGTTTTTTCCTTCATGCATTCTATGCAAAAAACCTTAAGCCTTTACAATCACTTTAAATTGAGGCTACTAATAGTTGTAGTGATGGATGATGTGTCTGTGCCTGTTTTTGTTCATTGCTTGCTGTGTAGTAGAGAAAAAGACAGATAGCAATAGCATGCTAAAGAACTACTCTCTCTTACCCAGAACCAGGGCTTTTGTGCAGAAATGCAATGGTATGCTGGTGGGGGATCCATTGCTGCTCTGGTGTTCTTATGCTGTTTAGAGTATCTACTGTTGAAGGGGGAGGGTCTATTTTTTGGGGGGTGGATCTATTGTTACTTGTGAGTGATCTTTATTGCTGGGGCAGAACTATCATTGTTGGAGGAGGGTATTTTATTCCTTGGAGTCTGGCCTTTTTAGCTGGAGAGGATCTATTGTTGGGGGGTCTTTTGTTGCTGGCTACAGGGGATCTATTCTACTGCCTTTCTTGATAGTATTAACAAATTCCATACAACTTAACTTACGTAACACCACCAAATGATACTTGCTTTTGTATTCTCTAACATGGGCAGAACAAGGAGGTGCATAAGGGTGGAAACTAGGGACAGTGCTCTGAGATAGGTAGGGGGCAGGGACAAGGGGTGACTTGGGGGAGGAGGGGTACCTGTTCTTATTCTCTGAGAAGAAAGCCCTGCACAGAACCATCTACATCCAATAGCTCATTTAGGTCCCTTTCACATGGACGTTTGATCAGGTTCACCTGTCAGTTTTTCAGGTAAGCCTGTTTGGAAGTTCCATGCAAGTCTATGGATAAGCTGATATAAAAAGGCCATCCAGGTATAGAAAAAAATGAAAAAGAGTCTGCGTCCCTTTCTATTTTTTACAACCTAAACGGGACAGATTATAGGTGATTTGATGTAAACGAGTGCAAATCCATTTCCATCCGGGAGCCCATAGATCTGCTATATATGCAGAAAACTCCAATTTTTAGGTGGAGCTAAACACTGAACATACATAGATGTTACAGAGGTGACATCTGTCCCATTCTGCTCCAATTTAGCAGGTAATCTGTTCAGGGATCGTCTACTGAATGGACCAGGCAGCGCCCATCTGAAAGGTATATAAAGTATATCTGAAGCCAAAACTGCTTTTTTTGGTATACAGTAGGAAGGGCAGTCAGGTTTTTGCCATCTGTGTCCTTTTGGGGAGATCTCCCTTCAAATCACTTCCTGTAGATCCATCAGGAATTGAAAGTAATTGCCTCCAAATCACTTCTTAGATAGGCATCACTAGAACTTGTATCCCCATTTGGCAATTTTTCCCTCTATAGTTGTTTGGATGACAACTAAAATTTTTTGTATATTTATTCCCAGTGAGAGGGGTCACCAGGACAATTAATGAGGGTGAAAAAAAAGGTGCGTTTAACCCTTTTTTCCTGGAGTGGCGGTTTAATATATTCTTGCAAAAAGCCTACTTTTAACCGATTCTCCATAAACAGGATACTTTCTGTGCTTTTTGTATTTTTTGATAGAGAGTTGAGTCAATTGCACTTCATTTCATATTTTTTCTGTCTTCTTTTTTTGAAGAGTACTTTCTTTGCTTGTCCATAGCTTTCTTTGCTAGGAAGTAGACGGTAGGTTCTGTCCATGTTCCATGGATGTTATATTTGAAGTCTGTTAGCTGCACAGTGTAAACGGTGCTTTGTGATGCTTTTCACATATGGCATGCACAGCTTTGGTTCCTTGCCCAAGATAAATCACGTTTCTGTATTTGATCGTGATGATAAAGAGGTTGTTTGGGTAACTCTATCTTTTCTCTAAGAATGTCAAGTATACTATAGCAGACAACTCCTCTACTAAAACCGGCCATACCTGAATCAAACTTCAGCTGTTTCAACAGGGACCAGCCAAATTTTGACCCAAGTATGTGGAAACCTTGGTTGTACAGAAGTCAGTCGACTGACTATGTACAATCAGCCTGTCAGGTTTTTCCTATTCAATCTGCATGGCTGGCTATAGCCCAATACCACAATGACTATAGAACCCAATAGCACAGTGAGAGGATTCCTTTGTCCAAATCGGACGTATGGATGGGGGAATCAAACTACTTTTTTTTTGTTCAACGTGCTGGTTGAATGAAAAAAAAAGTGTGAATGTATGGGCTTTCTAACAAATACTTCGGGGTCTTTCAGAGTAAAGTACAAATGTCAACGTAACACTAGCAATGGCACAATGCAGTACTGCCATGGGCTAACTATGACCCTACAAGTGTATATTAAGACTTGAATTTGCTGTGCAATAGTAGCACAACCCTTATCCTTAGCAAACTATATTGTCAATGTATAATTATGTGCTGTTAGTGTACATACGCATATTCAAAGGCAGTTAAAGTATAGCTGGCATTCCTATATGTAGCACAGTTTACAGGTTTTTGGAAAGATATCAACATGCATCTTTGATGACGGTATATGTGGACTTGTAGTTTATACACTTCTACTTGATGCAGGGTTTTCAAAGACCAAGTCAAAGGCCTCCATTCCCAATATGCAAAAGAAGGTGCTCCTTGTACCTTGAAGGTCTGTGCTCTACTCTGTATAGGATCATCCTCACTGTAATTTAGTCAACCCAGGACCTGTGTTGGCATTTTTCGATGGTCCAATGCAGCACAATTTTACCATCAGTGTAAGAGCTTCTGAGATTATTCAGAGTTCATTGCAGGTGCAATAGATCTGTTTCAGAGACTGCCATGTGAAGTGTATACTAAGCATAGTACTTGTTGGGGATCCTAGGGGGATACTAGTGAGAAGTGAGCAACATGAGGGCCAACCAATATTATGAAAGGCAAATGGAAATGCTGTGTTATTGTCTGAAGTGCCAGTTTTACAGTGCAGATTAATGAAATGCAATATACTGTATTTTATGACAGTGTTGTGCCGTGTGTGAGAAGATGTAAAGGTCCCACAGGATTCCCAGTGATGCAGGTTGATCTGCACCAGAATGGCTACGGGACTGCAGGCAGTATGCTATTAAATAACAAAAGACATAGCAATTTTTTATTTTGGATAAATAACTTGGCCGCGGCCATTTATTATTAGTATACTTAGCTTACAATAAAATCTTTATTTGTATACAGTAAATCATAAATATATTAACCATTGCACTTTAATTATCACTACTAAACCACAGCTTAGTTACTACGACTCATGCTGTCCATACTAAAACAATAACTTATTAACCATCCCTATATTCTTTCAGAATCTTACTCCATCTGAAGTAAACTTACTTATTTATCCCCTTTATTAAAGGTGACTTTACCAAATAATAATTGATAAAAGAGGGGTGGGTGGGAGGAGAGCACCACAGAGATGCCTCCCAGGTGGCTGAGTCTCTCAGGGGTCTCCAAACTATGATCCTCAAGGTGTTGAGGAATGGCAAGTCCCATGAGGCCTTGCAAGACTCTGACAGCCACAGGCAAGATTCCCAGAGGCAAATCATGATGGGACTTGTAGTACTCCAACAGCTGGTAGGCCATACTTTGGACCCCTGCTAGAGGATCGAATCCCCTTTTTATAGCTCCCCTAAGCTTTTCTGGTCGCTTCTGATAGATCAGTTTCCTTCCAGGTGTTGCTCCATGCGCCCCAGGTGCAGTGAGAGACTCCTCTATTTTCCAGAAGCTTCCCCTTTATCCAAGGGGTAGTGGGGGGGCTTGAAACGTAATGAACTTCTACATGTCCCCCCCTTAGCCTCAAGAACAAGGGGGGGACTTAAAACATGCCAACCTTTCTCTTTCTCTCTCTCTCTCCATATATATATATATATATATATATATATATATATATATATATATACAGTGGGGAGACTTTAAACTTGCTCCTGCCACAATCCCATAAGAAAAGGTAGGCTAATATTGTAATCCCTCTTTTTTTCTCTATTCTGAATGGAGAATATTATTTTTTTAGTTTTTTTGTGGGATTGGTAACTCCTAGATTGGGTTCTAGAGTTCAGAGGCTTTGAAGAGTCTTGGGAGGAATGAAGCCTCTAAACCCTGTGTCCACAGCATACTGGAGACCAACAGCCTGAGTGGGCAGGTGTGATAGCCTTTTAATTAAGGGGCTGACTGTAGTTCAGTGCTCTTTTTTACCTGGAGATGGAGACAAGCTGAAGTGTATGGGTATGCAAGCAGACACAATGACAGTGTTCATGCTAGCTTCAAGGAGAAGCCATTTAATCAGATCATCACCTGAAGGCTATTAAGTGACAGTGTGTCTTTAGGTAGGAGCCTGTGCAACCCAGGTGGGCATTTTTTTTGTCAGAGAACTGACTGAGATAGTACACTGAGTCTGTGCGGAAAAAGAAAAAACTCTCTAGCAGTACACACCAAAACTGAACATGTGCAGAATGCCCAAGAGGCTGTGTTCTATCAGGAGATGAAATGGGGAATGTGAAAGAAGGGGAGGATCAGAGAAGAAAGGATCAAACATCCTTTTTACACAATGCAATTAACCCCTTAAAGCGGAGTTCCAGTGAAAATTAAAAAAAAAATTAAAGTCAACAGAGCAGCTACAAAAACTGTAGCTGCTAACAATTAAAAAAATGGACACTTATCTGTCTCTCGGTCCTGCGGTGTCTCCCCTCGCAGCCCATTTCACTGGCAGCCCTGTGTTCCCGGCACTAACATTTTAAGTGTGGGCACCTTGCGGTGACAGCTTGCGGTTTCACAGTCGGGTGCTCACTGTGCCTGCACGAGTAGTGCTGCGCTTTGTGAATGGTCCTGTATCTTCTGGGACCTGTCACGTGTTCCAAAAGACTACAGGGGGGGGGGGGGGGGGTGGACAACTTCCGCTTCCGATCGCCTAGGCGATCGCTGCAAAAGTGGAAGTGGGTAACTATCAATTTTGGATAACTGCCCCCCCACCCCCCCACTCCCCAAAAGTGCCGAGCGGGGGACCAATCTGTAAAGCGGAACGTCCCCTTTTGGGTGGAGCTCCACCTTAAGTTCCACAGTGAGTATAACAAGCATGCTTTACTGCATATACAGACTGATTTTACTGTTGTGGGTTTAGTAACACTTTAAATAAAAGTGGACCACCAAACCCCAAAAATGTAAAATATTTTCAAGCTGGATTGGACCTAACGTTGAGTACTACACTTTACTGAAACCCCCACAATATCACTACATATACAATTGCAAGAAAAAGTATGTGAACCCCTTGGGATTACGTGGAGTTTTGCATGAATTGGGCATAAAATGTGCTCTGAACGTCATCTAAGTCACAACAATAGAAGAACACAGTCTGCTGAACATAATACTACACAAACATTAGATGTTGCCATGGTTTAATTGCACATAACATGTAAACATTCACAGTGCAGGGAGGAAAAAGTATGTGAACTTTGGACTTAATAACTGGTTGACCCTCCTTTGGCAGCAATAACCTCAACCAAACGTTTCCTGTAGTTGCAGATCAGACCTGCACAACGATCTGGAGTAATTTTGGACCACTCCTCTTCACAAAACTGTTTCAGTGTAGCAATATTCTTGGGATGTCTGGTGTGAATCGCTCTCTTAAGGTCATGCCACAGCATTTCAATCGGGTTGAGGTCAGGACTCTGACTGGGCCACTCCAGAAGGCATATTCTGTGCTGTTGCAGCCATTGTTTTGTTGAATTACTTGTATGCTTTGGGTCATTGTCCTGTTGCATCACCCATCCTCTGTGGAGCTTCAGTTGGCGGACAGATGGTCGTATGTTTTCCTGCAAAATGTCTTGATAAACTCTGGAATTAATTTTCCCATCAATGACAACAATCCTTCCAGGCCCTGAGGCAGCAAAGCAGCCCCAAACCATGATGCTCCCTCCGCCATGTTTTACAGTGGGGATGAGGTTTTGATGTTGGTGTGCTGTGCCTTTTTTTCTCCACACATAGTGTTGTGTGTTCTTCCCAAACAACTCAATCTTGGTTTCATCTGCCACAGTATATTTTGCCAGTAGTGCTGTGGAACATCCAGGTGCTCTTTTGCAAACTTCAAACATGCTGCAATATTCTTTTTGGACAGCAATGGCTTCCTCCGTGGTGTCTTCCCATGTTCTCCATTCTTGTTTAATGTTTTCCTTATTGTAGATGTGTCAACAAAAATGTTAGCATGTGCCAGAGATTTCTGTAGATCTTTAGCTGACACTCTGGGATTCTTCTTTACCTCATGCAGCATTCTGCTCTTGCAGTCATTTTTACAGGACGACCACGCCTAGGGAGAGTAGCAACAGTGCTAAACTTTCTCCATTTGTAGGCAGTCTGTCTTACCGTGGACACATGAACATCAAGGCTTTTGGAGATACTTTTGTAACCCTTTCCAGCTTCATGCAAGTCAACAATTCTTGATCGTAGGTCTTCTGAGAGCTCTTTTCTGCGAGGCATGGTTCACATCAGACAGTGCTTCTTGGAACCAGTAAACCCAAAACAGGTGTGTGTTTTTTAAGGGCAGGACAGCTGTCAGCAACACATCCAATATCATCACACTGATTAGAGTCAAGGTTGGCTCACTCCTGGCTCCAATTAGCTCTGGGAGAAGTCATTAAGCTAGGGCCTCACATACTTTTTCCTCCCTGCATTGTGAATGTTTACATGTTATGTGCAATTAAACCATGGCAACATCTAATGTTTGTGTAGTATTATGTTCAGCAGACTGTGTTCTTCTATTGTTGTGACTTAGATGACGTTCAGAGCACATTTTATGCCCAATTCATGCAAAACACCACGTAATCCCAAGGGGTTCACATACTTTTTCTTGCAACTGTATACAACTGTATTCTGCTTCTGTAAGTGCTCTGTATGTGACCTAGTCATGTCTGGCGGTCTATACTCTCTGCACAAGAGGTTGTAAACCCTTACATATGCCCAATGAAGTGACTGGCCTCAGGTGATATACACAGAGATCAAACAAATCCTCCTACATAAGTAGTACCCGTTTATTTACAGTCTTCTCTACATCTGTTCAAAAGCAAAGTCTGAGCTTTTGGAAAATGGGACAGTCAGTGAGGAGAGCTCTGGGAACTGATTGGAGGGAAGTGACACCACCCCCCCCCCCCCCCCTACCCATCCCCCTCCACACAGCTCACAGGAACAGAGACAAGGCTGTCAATCTCCTGGAGGTCCCTCATCTGGCACTGTATTTCTCTTGGTGTCAGAAGTAACTAATGATGATAACAGAGGAAGGAAGCAACAGACAGAAATGACAGTGATCTTAATTGAGACAAGATATGTTTTGTTCATATGTCATGTCTTAGGTTTACGACCACTTTAAGCTTTTAACCTCTTTGAGGGCCCATTTGCATTAGTTCATTTTAATGCACCATTGTAGTATACTGAAATGCATGTGTCCAACTGTCCCATAATAAAAATTCTGTTTGTTGGGATATCAGTGCTGCATGACCATTTTTACAGTGTTTTAGTGCTTTGGGGAGAACATAGAAGTAAATGATGATGTGTAAATGATGAGTAAACTGCATTCAAATGCAAATAGCTTGCATTTTCATGTGTTAGCAACAGATATTAACAAGTTGTGGTCAATGACTATTAATCCTATTCACTTCAAATCCAAAAAAGCATTAGAAACGTGCAACACACCCAAAAAAAACCCATGTTGATGCATGTCAGTGCACCTGCCTAATGGGACGAAATAACAGGACACATGCAGAGATCTAAATGGGTCTCCTAGATTGTAAGCTCCAAGGAGCAGGGCCCTCCTTCCCTTCTTGTATTGAACTGTATTATTGCTGTATTGTCTCCCGCTATATTGTAAAGCGCTGAGCAAACTGTTAGCGCTATATAAATCCTGTACAGGGGTGGACTGAGAACTCATGGGGCCCCCGGGCAATAGGAGATGATGGGGCCCCTGTGTCCTTGCCCAAACTCAAAAAAGCCTATGTAAAAGGTACCAGGGGCATCTCATGGGGCCCCCTACTGACCCCGGGCCCTCGGACAGTGCCCGAGTTTCCAAATGGTCAGTCCGCCCCTGATCCTGTATAATAATAATAATAAATGTAAACATTCCCTGGAGTTCTCCTTTAATCTCTTTTGTAGTCTCAGTGCTTTTCATTTATTCCTGTTATCATGTAGAGGGTTTTTAAATCTTTAGCTGCAGTGCTGAAATGTCTGAAATTAATGGACAGTCTGTAAAAATTGCACGGAAACTATGTGAAGAAAATTAAATGTCTGTAAATGTCAGTATTGATTCTTATCCTTCATTTATCAACCAGACCCTTTGTTCTTATCAAATGTTAATATGATGCAGGATTGAATATTTCTTTGGCTATACCCAAGTAATGCTGGGCCTTTCTATGAGAGCTGCTTCTGTAAAACATGATGGCTTACTGTTAGAATTTGGCAGGGCTCATTTATAATAGTCTTGTCCTCTGAAAAGTGATCCGCCGTAGATCACGTTTGCGGTGGTGTTTGACAGGTTGTGAGAAGACATTATATCACCTCCTCACCAGCTGTTTTAACCCCTAAAAGCCTCCAGCACCACACCACAACCAGTGGGGCCCTATTCAAATGAATGGATCGCATTTGGTGGGTGGTACTGACTGCAGAACACGACAGGGGATCATTTTTGGTGTGCTGCAATGCACAGCATTGTGGAATGTGTAAATTCCTGTACGACTTCCTTTACAGCTTGTTGGGGGCAGTAAAAATTCAGCTCAACCACCAGTTTGTACCATTCACCAACTGCAAGTGTAAACTAAGCCTGAGGGCTTATTTAGTCCTCATGCACACCGGACGTTCTTACAGCTGCTGTTTTTGGCTTTTGACATTTTTTTCTACAGCCAGTAAACCCCCAACATGTTGTCCTATGTGTCCATGCACACATAGACTGTAATTAATGTTTTTTGGCTGGCAAAAAAAAACAGAACTAGTGGGTTTTTTAGCTGTAAAAACACTCTAACACGGAAAAACGCGGTAAATCACAGATAACCAGCATTTTTGGATGGTTTTTTTGCGCTAAAAAAAGCTAAAAAAAAACGCGAAAAAACTCCGCTAAATACAAAAACGCTAAAAATGTTGAAAAACACCCCCGTTTTTAACGTGACTTTACACAGCTAATGTGTTGAAGTAACGTGCAGTAAAACATGCGTTTGACAGATGTACAGAAGGTGTCAGTCTATCTGAAGGACAGTACACCACAACACACATAATGTGCACTCTGGTGCAAAAAAAACCCTGCTATTGTGTTTTCCCATGCTCTGCTGGCCTATTCAAAGTGAAAGGGCTGCCCTAACGCACTGTGCCTTAAAGTAGAACTTTACTATCTGAATCAACATGGACTATTTTTAATCCTTACACTGCTGGCATTAGTAAATAAATAGGAAAGTATATTACATTTACTTGTTTTAAACTTTTTTTTTCATCTCTTCAGTTACTTCCTGGTTTCCATACCTAGGCAAATGATGTCATGCATCCCAGGAGTCTTCAGGAAGGGAGGGGAGGGTTCTCAGCTCAGCCTTTTGCTTAGCTAAGGGCAGATGGATTCCAAGAAGTATATGCTACATATAAATCATCTGCCCTTACTCAAGATGGCCACTGCCGGAAATGCCAGGGGGTGTTTTTCAAAATGATTTCTCAGCAAAATGAAGCATGGAGACATGGATGGGTGGGCGAGATTGCTTTAAATGTTAAAAAATTAATTAAATAGCATTTGTGGTGCTCAGATGCAGTGCAGTTCCACTTTAAACAGCATTTTTACTTCTGTATGTGTTGCTGTTAGATTTTCTCTCACTTCCTGTTTTGAGGACAACCTTTATACCAGACAGGAAATTAAGAAACTTGGACTCCAACAGCAGTAAAACCTGACAGGAGTTCTAGTAGAAGTTTGTTTTAACCACTTGCCTACCGGGCACTTTTACCCCCCTTCCTGCCCAGGCCAAGTTTCAGCTTTCAGCGCTGTCGCGCTTTGAATGACAATTGCACGGTCATGCAGCAGCTGTACCCATATGAAAATTTTATAATTTTTTTTCACACAAATAGAGCTTTCTTTTGGTGGTATTTAATCACCACTGTGTGTTTTATTTTGTGCT